CTCGGTGGACCTCCACCTTGCACAGAGGCCTCTGCTCATGATCCTGCTGAAGAAAGAAGAAATCTCATTGATCATGCAACCAAAGCACTTCTAGGAACTAGAGTTTGCCTTTATGTTTTTATATATGTACTACACTTCTCAAACTTTTGTTGGCTATTTGATATCAAAGTTTGAATATGAAGCAATTAGGAATATCTCTAGCTATCCTATTTATTTAAGTTGATTTTTATGATACTCAGTGGGTTACATTTTATTTCTTACGTGTGGGTGCCTCAGGTTTCTCTGCTTCACACATTGTTTCAAAATCATTATTCTTGATTTTAAATGCTTTATTGCAATTTCTTAGAGTATTTTATCTGAGAACAGGTACTTGTTAAATAGAAGCATTGCAATGAATCAGAAAAATTTACTTGAATGTGGTGGTTTTGTTTCTTACCAAGGTTTTATTTTGTTTAGAAGGTCAGGCATTGCCTTAATCATGTAACAGCTGCATGCATTTTGGTACTTCATTCTTTATGAGAAGACTTGGTGAAGAGCTGTTGTATGGAAGAAAGGAATATTTGATTGTTTAAGAAATTAATTCACTTCACATGCACTGTCTGGAATAGCCCTACACACAAATGCTTCACATATTCCACAGTATGTTTCTATGCCCACCACTTCTTCTACTTCTTTTACTTGGTAGAATACCATATTGAAAAAAATATTCAATTTTGGGATACCTTACTGAAAACATGACATCTATACTAGCCTTTTGCATTGATTTTCCATGTATTAAAAAAAGGACCTAGTTATTAAAATAGACATTTCAGGACTTTGATGTGATTTCTTCTTCTTTTATGCCTTTCCCTGATTTTTTTCCTAGCAGCGAAGTATTATTTTGTCCAAGGAATTGAGGAAATAGCACTGCTCGTAATTAAAAATCACAGCTCAAAGCCTTGGGTCATTTCTTGTGGGGAAAGAAGCGAGGAGAGTTAGAAATGTCAGTGTACAGTTGACACTGTGCCTCTGGGTCTCTGAGAAACAGGCAGAATTTCCAAATAGGAAGGAGACCAAGCTGTCCCCCAGAAAGGCACTGACTGTTGTATGAGGAACTAACTGAAAATAAACTCTATCATCATGGTTTGGTGGCTTTTTATTTTTTTTTTAACTGAAGATGGTAATTTTAATAATTTTTTTCACCAAATTTGTATTGAAAATAGATCTCAAGTGCCTAGGTTCTTATTTATATATATTTCCAAATACTGAAGCCCACATCCCCAAACTTATGGGCAGATTGTTACAGTTAAAAATATGCAAACACTGTAATCACTGTCAGAACTGCAGTATATCTTTCTCATGGTTATAGACTCTGGGATGCTTCTTGGGGATTTTCAGACCTAAAAATAGGATACATTAAGTGAGCCTTTTCTTAAGAAATCTCTTGAGTTACCTAATAATTGTCAAAAATGTCTTAATTCTGTTTTGCATGGGATAGGTGGCACTACTAGTGTAGTTCTTAATGTATTGCTAAAATGGTGGAACACTGAAAAAATCTAAAGTTTATCTAAACCAGTGAAGGAAATCTTATTTGGGCATGACATTAGGTCACAGTGCTTTTTCAAATCTAAAAGTTTATTAACATTTCTGTGAGTTTTACTAGTTTTTGTACTAGTTCCTAATATTTTGCTTAGATAATGGATGCGTTGTTTAAAAACCTGTAGTGGTGTACAGTGAAAAAGACTGATGTGTACTCTTCAAGTGTTACCAATTGTGTTTTGAATGCAGAAAAGTAATAATTATCTGTAAGGCCCCATTTTACTTCTGTTATTTCTTATTTCTATCTCTGTGAGAACAAGCAGTCTCACTGAACTGCAGAGGCTCCTGAACTTACAGTTCTTATTAGTAGCTTCTTCGCAAGATTGGTGCATGCCTAGAGGAGATACAAGCATATTTTGGATGCTCTAAAGTAGGTTTATGGTGTTTGTGTTCTGTATACCAGTAGCACTGTGTAACAGAACAATCTCCTGATCCCATTCTGGTGCTGCTGTCCTGTAAATCACTCTTGGGTAGTCTGAGAAACACTGCAGATTTTTTTGTAGAAAAATTCTGTTTCCTCTATGTGTTTATATTATAGATATTTGATTTACAGGATGCTCTGCCTTCAGAGGTAGTGGTTCTTTGGATCTTTATTTTTTTTTGTGTAAAGACCAATGGCCTGGATTTAAAAAAAAAATAGAAGATAAAAAATTGCTGTTAAGTAGAAGACCCATGCAGAAGATTTTTCTTTCATAGTCCACCATAAGCTTTATTTTGTCACCTAATAAATGGCTTTTGGAATTGAAAGTTAACATTTTTCTGAGATGACAAGGAGATTTAAACATGTAGCTACTATGGCAGCCACTATAGGAAAGTTTATTCCTGTATTCTTCATGCACTAATGTCTGACCTTCGCAATGTTCTTCAGCCAAAGTCCCTGCAGCTCCAGGCACAGGCTGGTAGCACTGTGTGCTCCTGTGAAAGGAACTAAAATAAGCAGGCAATTCCAGATGTGCCCAGAGCACAGCGTTCAGTGCCTGGTCCCAGCTGGTAGTGAGGAGCAGTGGGAGCCTTGGTTTTGTCCTGCTGTCAGCATCTCTGAGTAGCTTGTCTTACTCAAGAAATTAATTTTGTTTATTCAAGGCAGTTCTTTTTTAGTTAGGAGTGTAGGTGTCTCCCAACACTCATTTGTCCTTTTACCTCCCACATCAGTGCTATAGTAAGGTAGTTTGTTTATTTTTTAACCTTTCTAAAATCTACATATTTGTCCTGGAAGTTAAACTTTATTCTAACCCTGCACTTATATCATCTTTGCCTAATTTATTATCAGTTTTTTGGTGATTTTTCCAGTGTTGCTTTGGAAAGCAATAAGATGCTTAACCTTTTTTTCCATTTAGCTGCTACTCCAGTGTCATACACATCCCTTTGCATTAGAGTTTGGCACCTGATCAATGCAAAGATAACATTAAGTATTTAATTATTTGTGGTGACTTTCAAAACATTTTAGTTTCTCAGTTTTCCTGTCTGTCCCTTTAATTTATTTCATCAATTTTATGTGTCTTTTAACTTTGGTGTGATATGCATTTATGTGGCTGGTCTTTGTATCTGTGCAGTTTTCCAGTGCAAGGATTCCTTTCATATTGTTCCAAAGTGATCCATTCTCTTTATTTATTTCTGTTTTTATATCTGTAATGCACTTTGCTATTGGAAAAATCCTTTCTAAATCATCAGTACACTAACCTCTTGGTGTTTCTGAAGGCTCATGTTAATATTAAAAACCACTCACTAAAACGTCTCTGTCCAGTCCTAAAATCATATTTCCATCCCAATAGTGATAGTGTAGCAATGGGACACACAACAAACTGGCATTAGAGATTTAGAGATTGCAGGCTGATGATAGAATGAAAGATTGTTCCCAGCCTTGGGGTTTAGTCCAGTAAGAAAACAAGGAGTAAAATATCTTGGAAGGTTGAGTACTTAGTAATTAAATTATTAGTAAAGGACATGCCTGGATTTCTGGAAAGAATGAAAATAAATGTGTGTACTTGCACAAACCCCCCTTTAAAATCACTTTCTTTTCAAGAAATGCTTTTATAGCTCTTCAACTCACTTTCTTCTTCTAATCTCCTTCATCCTTTTTAATGTAATATGTGAGGGCTTTTTTGGTGATAATAGCTGCCAGCATTCCATTCTCAAACTCCACAGCTGCACTGTCTGTATCTTCAGCGGATTAGATTCCTCTTGAAACTGGATCCAATGTTTATTTAAAACAGTGCTTTTTACTCATTCCCAAAAGACTATGTTCATTGTTGTTGTTGTTGTTGTTGTTTTAGTAACCTTAAGATACCTAAATTTAATTTGGAAATAATATTCTTATTTTCTGTGAACTTGGGCATTTTATTCTGAGTATCACGTGACTGGTGGCATTTTCAAAGTAGTGAGATGCAAAGGATCCACAGGCGCTTTTCCCATGAGCTGAATTTATATCATCTTCTTGAACTAGTAAATATTAGTGAAAAGCAGTAAATAGTGGTGATTCTTTGTCTTGATGCTTGCTACTGGAGAGAGGAAAGGTCTTAGATATTCTTTTGGGAAAAGTGACAGCCCAAAGCCTGTGCCTTTCTAAAGTCCCACAGAAACTCCTAAGTTAGATTTTGGATGTTGTACACATGCATCATGGCCATCAGCTTACAAATGGATTCTGATTTATGTGATTTAAGACCGCAAATATTTTGTTTATAACTGCATCCATTATATATCAGAATAACTAGAAAATAGTCTGGGACAAGTGCAGAGGTTGTTTTTGGGGGAAGAAAAACTGACTCTTGAGGATAACTGACATTTTAAAATGGGCTTGAGATTTGACTGGGTCTGCAGCTAATGATTGTTACTGCCTTTATAAATTCTTGACTTCCGGCATCTTTTAGTGCTGTAAAAAAAAAAAATATATTTTTTAAACCTTTGAGCATCTCCTCAGTTTTGTTACTCATACTGTGGCCTTGGTATTTCCCAAGGGACAGGTGTGTATGATGGGGCTTTGTGCATTTCCCTTGCTGTGTCATCCTGATCAGCTCATGCAGAGGTTTGAGTTTCACTCTCTTTTGTGAGAAAGTTACAGCAGACTGAGGGGCAGCTAACACAACACCAGCTAATTCTGAGCCAGCCTCAATTTCTCATTCTAAATTGGGTAAAAACCATGGGACCAAATTACTCAGTTTTACTTGAGACAAAATCCCAACGAAGCCAACTAAGGCTTGAGTAAGCGTGGGAGGTTGTGGCACTTTGCTTCTGAGTTACATCTGCTTTATGAAGGTGATTCACTAATTAGGGGGAAAGGAAATTCAAGGCACAGCTCTTTATTTACTCAAGCCTCAATGCAGCCTCTGTGTTCCTCATATTCTCTTGTTTCTGCCAGGCCTGTGGGCTTGTTTTACTGAAATTATATAATTATTTCTTCCCCTCTTTGTGTTTTTTCCCCCTAGACTGGCAGATAGCTACTCTGGCTCTGCTGCTGGGTGGTGCTGCCATTATTCTCATAGCTTTCCTGGTTGGGCTGATCTCCATCTGCGTGGGGTCTCGGAGGCGCTTCTACAGACCAGTTGCAGTCATGCTCTTTGCTGCAGGTAAGCACTGGCATCATTAAAAACATTTCCTGAGAGCAGCTGAACCTTCATGGAGGGAGATATGCCTCGTTCTGCATACTAATTCAGGGGTGTTTGGTTACTTCTGTCTTAACTCCAGTGAGGTTTCTCAGGCTGTAAGTTCTGCACAGCATTAATCATTTTTGCAGTCGCACTATTATTAGTTCATAAACAATTATTTATTTGCATTATATTTATTATTTTATGAAGTTCATGCAGCAGGAGAAACTACAGAGGATAAATCTTAAAATACCGTTTTTAATCTGTGACTTTGTGCTGCTTGATGTCCCCATTTTTATTCTTTGTGCAAAGCCATTTTTATTTTAATGTTCTCTCTTTTGCAATTTTAAAACATGGAAATTAATACTCAAAGGTGAGCCCTGGAAGCTCTACATGTGAAAATAAATAGGATTATCTTTCAAGGTGTTTATATATGTCCCTGTGCCATAAGGAATTAATTTTGTTGTGTCATCTCGCTTGGTTATTAATTTAACAAGCTGTCACAGTGCAGTCCCTGTTTGGCTTTAAAAACACACAAAATGGAACAGTTTATATAAACTATCACAAAATCTTAAGGGAGACCTAAGAATCTGAATTGTCTGTAAGACTGGTCCAGTGAGGTACAATTAAAATATCAAATCATCTCCTTTTATATATATTCTGGTGCTTTGGGGCTTTGTCAGCACGGATGTTTCAGATTCTCCTGAGACTCACCAACCGTGGTTTGCCTTCATCCTGTCACTCACATCTGCATTGGAGCCAGCAGCTTAAGCCCCTTCTGAAGCCCATAATGAAGAGGATGACAGAACCTTTGGGATGTATTAAAAAAAGCCACTTAGAGGGAGGTGAGAGGATGAGAATGTGGGATTGGAGGAGTTTGGGATGAAGCAGAGCTCTGGGAAGGCTCCTGCTGCCCCCTGCTGATAATATTGCCTTGATGGAACCAAGCCCTTCAAGATGCACTTCTATGTGCTCAAGCCATTCCTAGATTGCATTTCATTTGCTTTTAGGAAATTAAAGCAACCTAGGATCAGATTACCTGAGTGGAAATCATCTGGTTTTGTTCTATGTGTTGCATTGCTTGCTTGGTTAAATGAATAAAGGCACTGGTTAAATGAATAAAGGTACTGGTACTTAAATTTAGTGTTAATTCTGAGGTTTATAAGGTATGCTGGGCAGTTAGCTTTGAAGGAAATGGGGTTATATAATTTCTATAGTGGTTTCTTGTTTGGCCTTTGGCTTCATTTCTCATAACATCGTGTAGTAACTTGGCAATTATTCAGCCATACATGCCTGTCTTGCTGTGTTGCTCATTCAGTAGTTAAGTTTGTACTAAAAAAAGAAATGGCTTTCCACAAGACAAGATCTCCTCAAATCCTACTGTTTCTCTTCATGTGCTCTCCTCTGCATAAAATTGCTTCTAGTCTTTACTACAAAAGGTTGATGGTGAAGGCTTTTAATGCTTACTTGAATGTAAGAGGAAATTAAATTGGTTCTTTAGCTTTTGATGGTGTTTACATCTTCCCTTTGCCTCTGTGTGTGTGCATGTGCATTTTGAGCAGCCATAACCTGAAGCATATTGGAGGAGAGATGATGAGTCCAAGACAACCTGCCCCAGTCTTCTTCATTATCTAGCAAATCTGAGGAGAATCCTTTCAGGATTTGACACTTACATTGTTAGAAGACATTTCCTACAGATTTTATCTTTGATGTCAGCAATTGTAGAGATTAATATGGATGATGTATCTTGAAGGAATTATGGAAAGAATCCCTCACTGAAGAGGGGAAAGTTAAATTGTAGCAGTTTGTGCCTTCTGCAGCTTTCCATGGATTCAAGCCTTCATCTGTGGATTTCACAAACCTTTCAGGATAAACACCACCCTGACCTGTGAATGTGCTGGCAAGACCAAATATTCTGTGTAACTCTGCTTGGGAGTCTATCAGCTGCCTCTGGAAAAAGGGCACAGTATGAATTTCCCACAGACATTTAATGATGTGTGGGTGTTGGGTAGAAAAGGTCTCTATGTGGAAGAAAGGACAAAATGGAAAAGTTATTTCCAGGTGCTTTATAAGATTCTAAATAGTTGGCTCCAGGCTATTTTTTTTCCTTCAAGTTTTGATTATTTTTTTTTCCCCTCAGCTTCAGGTTTCAGTTAGCAACTCTGTAGGTGAGTGAGAAGATTGACTAGGACAGGAAGAGATGACAAAGAAAGGGACCAAAAAACCCAAAATTCAACCTAGATGCTGAAAATAAGCCAGCAAGTAATGAAAAGATGTGAATGTGTCTTCCTAGAGCTGACAGTATGTATTTTAATGTTGAGAACTAGAGGAACACCTCAGGTGGTGAAAAAATGTGGAGGAGGCAGTTGCAGGAAATCTTGCATGGAGCCACCTTGGCTCATGTGCCTCTGTGCTCTAGTGGAGTCTCCAGCTCATGCACCTGCTGGGTGTCTTAGAGCTCATGAATCAAACTGGCCCTCAAAGTGCAGGCTCACAAACCTGTCAGTGCAGGAGTTTCATGATGCACTTACTGTTTAACTAAGTGCTAACCAAGTCTAACTTAGGGGCAGAAATAGGAAGTGTGCTTGCTGAAAGTCCATAAAAGAAACAAAAGAAAAAGTAAAGATGCTTGCCTTTTGGTGCTGTTTCAACAGTTGTGACAGTGTTTGGAAGACTATCCTGGTGACATTAGTGAGCTTTTAATGCATTTCACAAGGTGCTTTTCCATGCAAGATAGGGAAAACAGTGGCTAAGTGAAAAATATTACAGGTAGGAGAGTAATATAAAATGGTGGCAGATAATAACTGAAGAATACTTAAGGAGGTATCTTTTAATTCTGATAGAAAGAGCACAGTTAGATTTCATCCTTAGTTCTGTGCTATCACCTATTTTCATAATGATAGAATGAAAGTTTACTTGTCAATTTTACAATGGAAGTAGGAAAAATTGCGAAAACATTGAAAGCCAGAATTTGATTTCGTGAAGTTGATGGAACGGTCTGAAAAAGTAGGACTGACTCCAGTAGAATGTAGTTCAGGTTGCTACAGGGCAGCAAAAAGAGCCATAAAATCAAAGAAATACTGTTGGGGAGAATACTCTTTAGGTTATGTGTTCCAATCTCCTTTTTGAGGCAGCATGGTCTCTAACAATGACAGCTTTGTCTGGCCCAGTTTTGAAGAAATTCAGGCATGAAGATGTCACAGCCTTTCCAAGCATGTTGTCCTGGGCCCTTGCTGCCCTCCTTATGATACTGTTTTCCTTGTTGATGTCCATCCTGAATCTCTGAGATTAGTGTCCACTCTCATTACTGCCAGCTTGCCTGGCACTGCACAGAGGAATTTTTTTTTCCTGTCATTGTTGCAGCTACTTTTTCAGGTAATCTTTAAAACACTCAGCACTGATTAATGAAGTGCTTTACTCATCTGAAATGAGCAGGAGGTAGAGAACAGAAGTACAGAACTTATTAGCCAGCACCAGCATTTTCATAATTACAGATAAATTAGAAAGCCACATCATAAGTGGGTTTTTTGATGTCAAAATTTACAGTCAAACATTTGTACAAAGAAAAAAAAAGATGACTGAAATTATATTTTCCTACTTTTAAAGCATTTCTTATGATTTCTGCGTGTTTAATATGATGAGTATGTATAATTGCTTATATTTCATGTGAATGGAATAAAACCAGTATTCCTGTTCCTATATTGCAAACATCATAGTGCTTCATAAAAATGTGTCTACATTTGAAGAGAACAATCAAGTTTGAGATTATCAGTCTTCTCTGAACAGCATTTGAGTTGCAAATTTTTAAAGATTTCCTTTGCAGCCCGTTTTTTCTACAGGAAAAGACTTGTGCTTCTGAAGAAGGATAGTAACACACTTCCCTTAGCAGGAGTTCCTTTAAATCCATTAGAAATAAATCAGAAGTTGCAGGCATTGCTTTCAACATCTTTTGGGGTCATGCTGGTCATTTCTCATAACTTTGCTGACTGCTGTCTCTAGCTTGCACAGCTCCCTACCTGCACTACAGGGAAAAACACTGACAGAAGGCAAAATCAGTGCAAAGTGATGACAGTGCTGTGGAGGGTGGCTGCTCCCACCAGGCACTTGCTGCCAGCGCTTGCTCTGAGTTCTGCAATAGCAAATCTGGATCAATAGTAGGGAAAGCTGGAACCCTCACTATGGAAATGTCAAAAAACCCTCTTGTGTGTGTGTTGCTGCTTTAGCAACATGTTCCTCTTCCAAGAGAATCACTTTTTTTCGGTTGTGTTTTGACAAGTCCAATCTGTAGATTGAAATTAAGCATACTTCATATGTTACAGTGAGGAAGGTGGAGACTTCCTTGGTTTGCACTTGACACAGACACACATGGAGCAGCTTCTGCACTGACTCAGCAGAGATGCTGCATCCCCAGTGCAGGAAGGCACTAAAGAAAAACTCATATATTTCCATACATTTTCAGAAATCCTTTCTGACCTTGAATGGTCTTAAAGATGTGTCTAAAAGCTGAGCATATGTTGAGGTGCTTTTGGATGTAAAGATGCTCTCATTATACAGAACTAGAATGCATAATCTTTTCATAAGAGTAGGTGCTTTTCCCAGTGTAGCCTGCCAGAGTTTCTTGAATGTTGCACAGTATTTTGGGAGCTGACAGACAAAAAATTATATTCAAATGGAATAATATTAAATAATACTTCAATAAGTGTAGAATTAAATAAAAGTCCTGAGGATTTTGATATCCACATTACAAAATCCACTGTGCAAACATTATTCAGATTTTCTGTCTCAAGTAAGGGTCCCAGGACTACTCTGTAGGCTAAGGTGGATGAGCTGAAATTTCCAGTGAGTGTCTTACAGAGTTTTATCACTGAGGTTCTGATGAACATGGGGTATGATCTCCCCACACCAGCCCTGTCCTCAGGACAGGTGAGCATTTGTCTCCAGGGCTAATGAAAGGGGCCACTTGGGCAAGGGTGTGTGTGTGTGAGTGAAATGGCCAATGTGTGTCTGTGGATCTCAGAGGCAGTGCCATAGGAAGTATTGATTTTGAAGCTTTTAATGTTTCGGATTTGACCTATTTTATTATCTTCTTTCATCAAACAGTATTTCTGACCCATCCCCTAAATTCATAATAGTTTGCTGGCTTGAAGTTTAGTGACTGATCAAATTTTATAGTTTCCTTGGTATTCTGTGCAAGAATGTCATTAATTCTGCTTACAGAACACAGTAATGAATATGAAATGTGTGATTCACTGAGTCTCTGCTGAGCACAAGTATATATCACCTATGACAATGAATTATTTCTAGGCTAAGTAAATTATTTGATTCTCAGCAACATTTCTTAATACGTATTCTTGCTCCTCGTTTTGACTTATTTATAATGGCAATAGAACAAGTTTTGCTGTTATGGAAGGAGTAATGACTGCAAACTCAAATACAAAGGAGAAACAGAAGAGAATTTGGGAAATACTACTCTCACTGTTTATTTTATGGACATTTGAAGGATCATCATTGTATCACAGCAATAATATTTGTTGATCAGCCAGGGAGTATGGAAGAGCTGCTCTGTTCTTTGTGAATGAAATGAAGGTGATTTAAAAAGGGCAGCACTTAAAAGCTAAAAATCTCCAAAGGTATTTTAAATGTGAATTTCAGTTATTTGATATTTTCTTTGTTTTAGGGAAGCAAAATAAGGCTTCTTCTGACATTTGTATTTTTTTTTCTCTTTCAGTTGTTCTCCAGGTCTGCAGCTTAGTCCTCTACCCAATCAAGTTCATTGAAACTGTCAGCTTGAAAATATACCATGAATTCAACTGGGGATATGGCCTGGCATGGGGTGCAACTATATTTTCATTTGGGGGTGCCATTCTTTATTGCCTGAACCCTAAGAACTATGAAGACTATTACTAGAATCATTTAATGAAAAGAAAAATTAAAAAAAGGATTACCCCATCTTTTCTAGCTCACAGTTTTTTTAGAACACTTGTGGAGCACCAAACAGTCTGCTCTGTTGATAAAATAGCCTTTGCCTTTTGGGTGTGAACACTGTAACCAGCTTTTACAACCATTTAGAAGAACTGCAAACACTAGGATTGCTGATATTTCATAGGCAGATGCTGCAAGCTGCTGATACATAAACTTCATTTTTCCTGACAACAAGCAAAAGGATCTACGTGACAGCGATCATTGTGAGAAAACTAGTTGGAATGAGAATGCAATGCCAGCATCTGCTATTGCCTTCAGGGGAGCAGCTGGTATGGGCTCCATTTAGAAGTTTCCCTGTATCATAGAGGATTCAGATGTCTGATAAGCAGGCAATGGCATCGTGTACAATAGGCTGAGTTGGTCCCTTGTTACTTGCTCAAAAACGCTCTTAAGGAATTAGTTGCAAGGGACTGTGTTGAGGGCAGTGAATGTAACTGGTTAATGACTTGTCTAATATCTGCATTCAACAGTCTGCTGGTAGAATAATTTAAAAAAAAGAAAAACCCAAACAAGCCACCAACCCACACAGGATTTCATGAATTAGTAATCGACATCACCGTGCCAGCTGTAGCAGATTGTTGAAGGAAGTCCAAACCCAGAGACATGTGCTTCTGACTGTGTAGTTGGAAGTTGTCTCAGCTCTCGGTGTTTTGCTGGAGGGGTGAAGATAAAGGGGAATAGAAAAAGACCTGTTCTGTCCCTGGGACATCTAAAATGTGTGAATGAATTGCAGTTGTCCTGAGTAACCATTTAACTTGCAAACATTGTCATGAAACGAATGCATATGGAACAAGTTCAGTTATATTTTTGAAAGGTATTTGTTAGAATAAATGAATATATATAATGCAAATATATATGCAGAGGGAGAGAAATGATTCATCCTAAAATTGTAAAATGAGCTGTGATGCAGTGGTTAAAATACTAATTTTGTACACATTCTTGAAAGTCTTGGATTGGTACCCCCAATTTTGATTGGTGTTACAAAATAAACACACAATGGTTTGTCTTCTGTATATGCCCTTGTACAGACTCTGTGTTATGGGAAATGCTTAAAAGTTCACATCAAGTTAAAGTAGAACTGGACAAAAATAACTTCTTGCTATTCCATATGTAATATAGTACTTGCTAAAAATTCTTTTCCAAGAGTGTTGCAAATTGAAAAACTGCCATTTTTTAAAAATCTGGTTAGGTTGTGAGTGTCCCTGATCATCAAGATTACAGCTGAGACCCTATCATGTCCACATTAAAACATTAGCACTTCAGGAGGTAATCTCTTGTTTTTAAAAACTGTGTTTCTAATGGACTTTTTGGTGATTATCTACATCTGATTACTCCTTGCCTAGTATGTTTCCCATTTAAAACAGCCAGAGACTGTACTCATGAAATTAAACCCAAGATAAAATAGGGAGAACCTTCACATGAATTTAATCCGCATCACTTTTATTTTTGTTTACAATTTGCTTATTTGGATATTTTCAATTAATTATAAGCATATTTTTATACAATTGTAATCTTTAGAAATACCTATTTTTTTTAATGGAGAAATTTAAAATATATTCTCTGTGGACCTCTACACAAGCAGATATGCTGGGGTTGCACATCCACCTCCACACAAACGGTTTTGCTGGTTCCATGGAAAAGGCTCCTGAATTACTGGGTGTTAAGATGGCATCTCTTGTGTTTCTGCTGGGCCACCATCTCCAGGGTGCTGAGAGTCTGCAATGACCACAGGGCTGCCTTTAGGAGGTCACTGTGCAAGTATTGCTGGCTTGTGGAGATGGTTTATAAAACTCTGGCACACTCTGGAGTTCAGTCTTTACTACTGTGGTAGAATACGCAGAATCAGCAGTGGTGATTAATTAGATTAGATGGAGCAAAATGACAGCTTGACATGGAAGGGACTGCATGGCAATGCCTGGAGAACAGAAAGGATGGGAGGAAAACTTGGCTCCAGTTATTTCACAGGCACCAAGAGAGCATTTGTAACTCTGCTTTATTTCCTGAGACTGACTTGAGGCGGATATTCAGTATATAGTTCACTCAGTATCTTTCTGAACAGCTGTGTAGTTCTGCTTTTATTTAGCAGCATGGAGAACATTGTAGTTTGGCATGGGAATTAGATTAGTGCAGAGAAGCCCACTGTGAGAAGATGTCTGTACCTTTCTAAGGAGATGGTGTTTTGGGGCCAGCATTGTGGCACTTGTCTCTGCTGACAAGAAGGTGCAATGCTGAACCCACATCGTAGCCACTAATTTATCAAATTGTTTTTCTTTATGTAGAGTTTGAGTGAAAGCAGCTGCCAGGCCTAAGGCAGATGCAAATGAATGGTGTGTGCTCTGCAAGCCACTGGCTGTTAAGGTGAAAGGCGTTCAGGAACAACAATTTACAAATGTGAATGCCTAAAGACAAGGTTCTTGATTCACAGTTGAGTCAAAGATCTGATTTTCAGTCCCAATGTCTGCTTTTTCTCTTGAAGGTGATGCAGTCTACTAGAACCCACCTCAGACTCCTCAGGACCTTTGTGTTTGGGCATTCAGTATGTGGATTTAGGTACCTACCTTTAGCTTAGGTTGCTACTGCAGTGTCCTTTTTTTTCCTCTTTACCATTGCAAATTTTGGCAAGCATTCTGTTTCTCAGAACAGAACTAAAGGTAAATGCAACTTTGTGCTGATTCTTGGGGGTTTTTTTAGCCACAAAAAAGATGCAAGTCTGTGTCCTGAGTGTACGTATGACAAATTAATAATTTTGTATGTTGTGCTTGTGTCATGTCACCATTATTTCAGTTGTTTGACTTTATCTCACTGGCAGAATGATTCTCTCCCACAACAAATCCATTTTTTTCTTCCAAATATATATGAATAAATATATATATATATATATATAGCAAACTTGCAAGCAGGGCTAGTTATTTGTATTTTTTAAGCTTAAGGTATACCGTCCGGTGCTGACAAATACCCAGCACCTCTTCTGGATTTCTTGCACAACTTCGTTTAGCTTTTGTAAATTTTAAAAACAAATATAGAGAGACCTATGTGTTTGAAATATAAATGATATATATGGATTAGCATGTAACTGTATATTATTAAACATGCAATGAACTGACTGGTAAGTGAAGTCTAATCTTATGGCTAGCAATGTAATTTATTCAGACTGTATTTTTGTACAGCGCAGTGCACACTAACCTATTGCCTCTGTGTCCTCTATAATGCCTAAAACTGTGCCTAGAAATTTCATTTATGTCTTTCAAAGAAAAGAAAAGAGATGATTAAATGCTTCATGTTGTTGATAGTATTGGTTTTTCTGATGTTGTTCTTTATTTATTTTTGAGAAGTGTATGGTATGTTTATTAAATGAATCCATCAAAATATGGTTCGTTTTAAATGGTCATTGTTAGCAGGGAAAGACTGATTTTTTTTTTTAATCTAAACTTTTAAGTTTGTGGTTTTAATACCATTTCTGCATTTCACGATTTTTGTAGCTTACATAAAGTTTTATGTGAAAAAGTAACTGAAATAAAAAAAATTGTTACACTAAGAAAATGTCCCTGTTTGGCTCTGAATAGAAGATGTATGCAGCTCAGGTGGTGTGGTTTACTGAGGAGGAACAGGCTCCTTAGGCTAATGAATATTCCTGGTATTCAGTTAATTACATGCTGAAGGAATCTTATCAAAATACACAGAGGGAGAGATGGAGGGGTGTCATTGGCAGGTTCCTGTATCTCACCTGGCCATAAAGCAATAGCACAAGGTGCGTTTCTGGGTGTAACAGAGTCCACACTGCCTTTATAAAGATGCAAGTATTGTAACATCAGAAAACCAAATGCTTTAAATGTAAATAACAAAGTCATGTGTTGAAATGGGAATCTGTACTTAGCACCTTGTTTCAGTGGGGGAATTTGTTCATTATATACAGGTTTTGTTCTTGAATTTCCAATAATTGATACTCTGTCTATTTTGATTCTGAAAGCTGTGCTACTCTTCATTGTGAAAAAACACAGTGATTTGAACATGAAAGGTGGTGTTGCAAAAAAAGGAAAGCATGTTTAAAGCACTAAGGACATGATACTGTGTTTTTTGTACTATTGAGTAATGTATCCACTGCATCACTGAATAGTAGGGGTGCAGCAATCTGAGGCTGCCAGCAGAAACCAAGAGCAGAATGGGAGGCAAAAGCCTTACTTGGCTTCAGCAGATGAGTGCTGAGTACAGGCACAAGGATGGGTGCCCAGAGTGGAAATCAACTCACAGGAAAGGAACTCAGAGCAGGGAACAAGCATGACAGGGGTGAACAAGGATGGGAGGTGTCTGAAGCTTTGTTTTCCTCTGAAATGCATTGAGAGAGGATGCTCATAGGGAACCATGAATCCACTGGGATTGAGAGATCAAGTCAGGGGTAATGAAAGGTATATTTCTTGAAATATGCATTAAAAGTCTTGTAGTTGTGGCTTTAGGGGGCACATTACCCAAGGGTTTGACCTTGTTTTAATGCCCAAATTTTAGCTAATTTGTGTTCTTAAGTATTGGCACAAGGTCTTGCATTCGCCTCCGTCTCTCCAATGAGAGAGGAGGTAATAATTCAGCACTTCTCTGTCAAAGCTGCTGAATAGTGGTGTAACTCAAAACACCTGGAGTGGGAGTATTGGGACAGGCAGCTGAACTGTTTTGGGTACCTGATTGTGGTTATTTGAGGTACCATGCATGTTAGGTCACACTTATGGGTCTGTAAAAGAGGGCAGCAGGGAGAGAAGTTTTCTTTTTACCCTCAGCACTCTGAGGGATCTAATCCTCTGCTGAAAGGAGACTGCCCTTCCCTGCAGGCAGCCAGGTGCGGGGAAGGATTTGGAGTTGGGGTACAATAAACAACAGGAGCACACTGGCCCAGGTCAAGGTGACAGACACCTGGGAGAAGTAAGTGACCTTCCTGCCTGTGGAGCTGAGCCTCAAGGGTCACAAAGACACACAAAAGGTCTTAGTTTCAATCCCCTGAGGGGAACTGGACAGCAAAGCAGCTTTGGAGGCTTTTGTGAGCTGAAACCCTTGATGCATTCCCACTGAATGTGAGCTCCCTGTGGTGCTTTTGCCCTTGTGGGTGCCTTTGGCCATTGTGGACCTTGTGAGAGCTCTGTGCACTGCTCTGTGCCCCACTGATAGAGCCCTGTCCCACTGTGCTGGGACACTGCAGCTGGACA